GACTTTCATGAGAAATGCTGGAAATTATGAGGTGCCCGTTTCGGGGGACACAGATGCCTAGCGGACTGGGGTTTTGCCGGCGCTGGCCCGGTTTTGCGCTAAGCCGGATTTGGTCATCCCCAAATGTGAGCTTGGATTTTTTCGAGTGTCTCCGTTCGCCGCGACATCTCCCCTCGGGTATGTCGTTGGATATCGCGAAGATATTGGGTGCTACGAGGGCAAGATGACAGTCAAAGCATTGCGCACCGTCGCAACCGGCAAGGTACGTTGCGCGAGCGACTTGATACACTATTATTCAGTAAGGAGGAATGCTGACAGTTGAACAGAATGGCCTGGGTGCATTCATTCTTCAGTGCAAGAAGATGGACTTCCACTATTGCGATTGGGCTGGCAGTTCTAAAGGGATGAAGTAAGTCCCTTTGTCATCCTACGGAATTCGAACTATTGAAACTGTATGGCTGACAGCAATTTCCAGCGGCTTCATTAAGTCTTTGCTCCCGAAGTTTGCCGCGGCAAACCCTCAAGTCGAATTCGCCATCTCACCCAGACCAGGCAAACATCCGGTCATCATCGGCCACTACATCAACGGACGCACTAAACCAATCTGTGTGCGAAATTTGTCACCATATGAGATTCTACAAAAAGTCGAGCTATTACGCGATGCCAGCGGTGAGAAGCTGAAGAGAACGAACAAGGCGGTTACGAGCACCAATCCCAGTATCAGAGGTATTTGGTCTCCGTACCACGGAAACGGAATGATTGTATAGAATTCTTCTTTGCTCTTTTTGTTTTCGAACCACAGGCCGGGAATTCCATAATGACAACAAAATGACCAAGTTGTCGTGTACGTGTTATTGTATCTTAAGATGTGCGTATATTGTTTTCAGCATAGCGGCTGGAATATTTGGGATGAAGACTACATTTGGTCACGGAGGGTGCAATGGCAGAAGGATAACCTATGAAACGAATCCGAGGCCAACTTTTTACAAGAAAATCACATGAATCAAAGCACACAAATTATAGCAAGAGGGTATCCAATGCCTTTAAGATTTTTGAAACATTCTATTTTCATGTCATACCCGCAAGATTCATGAATTAGAGTTTTGACTCTTGGCGTAGTCACTGTTTCTTGCAGTTGATGATGTCGACGACTGTCGAATATGTTTAAGTCAGTAGATGCATAATCGTTTCGGCGAATAATGTAAACTTGGAGGAGACTTACAAGCGGGCTTGAGAGAAGCGCCACCAACCAAAAAACCATCGATATCGGGCTGTTTGCTAAGCTCTGCGCAGTTCTTCTCGTTGACACTGCCTCCATACAGGATCCGGGTCTCGTCGGCAACCTTGTCACTGACACTCTTGAGCCAGTTACGAATGGCCTTGTGCACCTCTTGAGCCTGCTCGGTGGTGGCAACCTTGCCAGTTCCGATAGCCCAGATGGGCTCGTAAGCGATGACGATCTTGGACCAGTCGCTGATCTGGGCCTTGAGTGCTTCAAGCTGCTTGGTCACGACATCGACCGTCCTGCCAGCCTCACGCTCCTCGAGGCTCTCGCCACAGCACCAAATGACGCTGAGGCCGTTCTCAGTGGCATACTTGGTCTTGGAGGCGACGATTTCGTCAGACTCCTTGAGAATGGTACGGCGCTCAGAGTGACCAAGAATAACCCAGTTGATGTTACTGTCCTTGAGCTGGGAGACAGAGATTTCGCCAGTGAAGGCACCGTTGGGTTTGTCGAAGACGTTCTGAGCAGCAACCTCGATGCCGGAGCGGAGGTTGTCACGGACCAGCTGGAGATACAGGGCGGGAGGGGAGACGACGACCTCTGATATTATCTAGTCAGACGCGGTATTGCTCAATGGGCGGCTTCCGGCAGACGGATGGGAGTGTGGACGTAGGAACGGTACGAACCGACTTCGGCATCAAGAACGGCGTTGTTCAGGTTGTTGACAATCTCCTTGATGGACGAGATAGACCCGTTCCTGATATGTGTCGTCAGTCATTCCATTCTGCTGTAAAACCACAATGATCTACCGATGCCATGGAAAGCCGTCAGGCTGCGCTTTTTTTGCCAGCTTCGTCCCGGAAGTTCTCGCGCGGGGCATGGAGGGGCAATCGCAGCTTGGGATCGGCTCAAGGAGTCAGCTACTCTTACTTACATCTTGAAGTTGCCGCCGACTAAAAACTTGCGAGCCATGTTGAATATGTAATGCGTGTAGAATAAAGCTCTAATAGGATATATTTTGGAGTTTTAGCGCCGATGCAAGTGCAGCTTCGGAGGGATTGAGGATGGCGACAGAAGGTATTATGGATTGCGTTGGAGCTTCCGCATGTACAAACTTGCGCGGGCATTGGCGGCCTCTCAAAACGGATTAGTGGAACAACAATTCGTGCACGGGTCGAGTCAGCCCAGCTTGTTGGGGCAGCAGATCTGCAGCAATCAATCACCATGCTCACGTGAGTTGAGACTTGTTCGACTTGTTCATCCTTGGATAAGCTAACTACTGCTTTCAATAGATCGAATGACCGTAATAACAAAACACAAAAACTTTGGATCCAATTCTACTGCCACATATTCAAAACCAAACCAGGAATTGCCTTGGTTCCCCGCCTCAACAGTCTAAGCCGGACCATAAGCTGGGAACTTCTCGTAAGAACCATCGCAAGCTTCGGTTCTGAAATAGCCGCCATCTTTCCCCGTCAACTCGGTGCCATTTGGAGCGATGATCTTCACAGACATGGCAACGTTGCCTCCCTTGTCACCCCAGGCGACTCGCACGGGGTAGTAGGTCCCCTGCTCAAGGTGCCTCGTCGTGTGAGTTTCATCACCTGGCGGGGGGATATAAGTTCGCTCAATGTCTGCATTTGCCCGGGTCCAGCCACTGAAAGCGTTTTGTCCCAGCCATACCAGAGCGATGTCATCGGCTTGCCCAAATACAAAGGTGTAGTTGCCTGTCTCGGGCGCCAAGAGAAATCCCTGGTGGATGACAGAAGCCAAGTTCGTGCCCAGGGGCTGACCGTAGAGGTTATTGGGATTGTTGATCAGCAAGCTGTTGGTTCGTCCACCGTGCTCCGGCTTCTGGCTCTTGAACGTGATAGGGTCATATTCTGCGAATGGCGGCGACTTGACGGTGCTCCAGGATGATGGACCTCGCCATTGTGCCCATTCAAAGCCAGGTTGCCCGCAAGAAGGTGGTTTTGGCATACATAGCCCATTCCCACAGAGCTGGTCGACGCCACAATCGGAATTAGTCGAGCAAGGGCCGCACTTTTCGTCCTTGCATATCTGGGTGGCCTTGCAGTCTGAGTTCTTGGTGCATTCTGGAGGAGGCGTCGTGGTTGGAACGCACAGCCCCTTGACGCACTCAAGATTGTTGCTGTCACAGTCTGCATTGGCTGTGCAAGCTCCGCAGCTATTGTTTTTGCACACTTGACCGTTGCACTCGCGGTTGTGTTGACAAGTGACAGTCGCTTTGCAGACATGATCGTTACAAACCTGATTCTTGCCGCAGTCATCGTCAGAGGAGCACCCGCTGCACTTGTCTTTGCATTGCATTTCAACCACAATAAAAGGGCTGTTGGCACATTCGCCGAGACTCTCAATGTACTGCTTGATCTTAGTCCGGGGAGCTTCAAAGAAATAGTTTTTCATGAAAACAGCGCGGGATAATACCTTTTTGAAGCGATCACACAAGTCACCCTTCAGGTCTCTATCATCAATTGCCGTTTCGCAATCGCGCGAGCACAGTTTCTGGGGAAGTTGTTAGCATGAAAACCTATTTGAAGAATGTCTTAGGGGTCACACCTCAACATCTGACGGCAAGCGGTCTAAACCACAATCGTGTCGCAGGGACTTGCATATCTTCCCCAGCACAAGAGTGTTTCGTGTGGACAACACAGATCCTGTCTTCAAGTCCTCAGCCATGACGCCATGAAGCGCCAGTGCAATAAGCAATTTCATTGGAAGAAGTGATATTCCGTTCATGATGTGTATGGGCTTTCAAAGTTGTTCAACGGCTTTTCTATTAAAGGTGTGTACTTTGGTGCGAGCCATGTAAGAAACGGATTCGTGAAGGCAAATACCCTCGATTTTATACATTTCCGGACTATAGTAAATCAAGCTGTGGTGGTAATCTCAACGCAGCCAGGCCGTCTGCAAACAAAACGGAGCGGCGAGGGTCTGGAGCCGAAGTGTGACAACACATCGGCGTCTCTTACCTGTTTGTGCATCGCTTCAAAAGAAAAAACAGGGCCGTAGGTTGGTTTCAGGGCTCTTGGAACAGTGTCACAAATAAGAATGTTCTACGTGGGCGAAGGCCATTCAAGCTGATCAATGATTGATGAAGATCTCGGCTGGAAGCGACAACAAGACTGCAATGTCGCACACGATCTTGTACTCGCAACTGAATCAAGAGATTAGATGCGACAATTTGACATCGAGTCTTGCTGCTTATTTCCCAGCCAGGTTGCCAGGCAAGGCCTCGACTGGCTCTTGACATTGGTATCAACCTCGATTATCTAGAGCCAATAGGAACGGCTCAGATGTGTTGCAAAAAAAGCAATAAAGAAGCTAATGGCCCGATAGATTGGGTTACTGAGACGAGTAGATCATACATAGCCTGTAAGATAATGTATAGGCGACACCTTTTCGAAGTAGTCGCTTTCCCAACATAGGAGATGCAGACGATAGCTGAGGTGAAACAGGACACATCAACCCTGTTTGTTCTTCGGAGACGTGATATCATGTAAATTGATCTGACAGAGCGTACGATGGGTGGTATTCTACGTGACAGATTTGTTGTCTTTCAGCAATCGAAGCCAGGCGGTTAGGCATTACAAATGGTGGTGACTTGTTGGAAATCTATCAGCGCATAAAGAACATCGAATACAATGCAAAAAAAGGACTCTCTCTTGACTCTTTCCACGCAGGAAAAAAGGCAACTGTATGGGTGATTAATGCATGCATGCATGCAATTGGGAAAGTTGAGATCAAAAAAGCACGACCACGCCAGGAGTCGAACCTGGAATCTCTAGAGAGATCAGCTTTCATCACCACCGAAATCTAGCGCCTTAGCCATTAGGCCACGCGGCCGATACAATGTTGCCGATTATTAATCACTATACCTGCCTTGCGATTGTTGCCAATGAATGTGATATCACTGGTGTTGTCCGGAGCAACAAATTTCTGTACAGAGCAAGTGTTTCAGCGTCCACCTATGAACAGTCTACGAGCAAATCTTATATTGAACACTGGGGGACTCGCGTGCCCTGTCACACTGAGCTGTTGACAGACTTGTGCATTGAGAATCGATGGCGTTTGTGCAGCCTGCCAGTCTCGCAATCGAATTGTTCAGCCATCTCAACCCATTGAAACTCTTGCAAGACATGGAATCCCTTCTCTGAAAGAATATACGGTGAAATATTATAGCCTTGATTGTTACAGTGCGACCTGGCAAGCTGAACGCAATGGATTCGGGTGGGCCTTTGCCAGCTGTTGACGGTTTCAGCAGGTGCGCAACAGCTGCGCGGATTTTTTTCCCTTCTCCTTTCCGAAAGCCCCATCATCATCTTATGGATAGCAGATGGAATCTGGGTTTCACTTTCCTTCACTCTTCTCTTGTTCAGACACCATTTTGCCATCGATCCACTGGATTTGACAAGATCCAACGGAAGCGAGATTTCCCTCAACAAGCTGGAAGACTATCGATTCCCGAAAACGAACGTGATTACACCTTCATATTCTGTTTTTTGTTGGAAGTTCTACTCGGTAGCAAGGCCACTGATCTGCCATCTGAATATGGCTTCGCCGACGGCAAAAATCTCATCAGCGACGCCTCTCAAAAACCACGAGAGTCTTTCCAAGATCTGTGAACAAATGAAGTTGTGGATTAATGGCTCACCTCCTACCAAAAATAACATCATTTGTTCGGGAAGCTCATCGCCATCTTCCGAATCGACAGCTGCAGTTATCGAAGTGGGAGAAAATATTCCCAAATCGCTCGACCGGAGTGATGCCAGTAGTGCCCAACAACCAGATGGGCATGAACCAGACGCTCAAAAAACCGGAAACGATGAATCAAATCTTTCAGGGTCACAACCTGATGGTAGTACTCAAGAAGGCATCCATGGTTCAAACTCTGAAATTGAAAGGTCTGCAAGAGACACACTCGACGGGCCGCTGCTGGCACCACTGCATGTAATTCGAGCGGCGATGCCTTCTCCCCCTGGCCTTGAAACAAAAACTGGCCTTGACAATGACGGCTGGAGTATAAGTAGTATCTGTCCTTCCGAACACGCAGACCAAAATGTCAAGTTTAATCCAGATGTTCCGAACCAAGCTGATCCTGTGAATCAAGATGCGGCAACTCGGGAAGATTTCCATGAGAATTGCGAGGGACATACATCAAAACGCGATGATGACCCTGTGGAGGCTTGGCTTATCAAATACCTGACGTCGCCGTCCTTGTTGATTCCTCACGACGACCTTAAGGATCCAGTCAATAGTCGTTGTGACATAAATCCTGATGAGGGCAAGTTCCTTCCGGCAATTATTCAGCCTGAAACTGTCCAATGTACGGTACAAGGACCTTGCAGAGACTTTAATGACATTGTTTGGCGACAAATCAATATGACGGCTGAACTTCACATAAAGAAAGAGATCAGAAGTCGCGAAAACATCGCCAAGACCTTGCAAATGGCTCTCAATAATGAGACTCCTGGCATTTGGCGTCCTGATTCTTGTCGCTCGATCGAATCCGAAACAGACTGGCCAGACGCAAAATGCATGGTGCGCCCTGCGATCCAGTCAGATTACCCCGCTATTGCAGAAATAATCAATGAGGAAAACAGGTATATGTTAAGATCAGAGATCGACGAGAGCTTTGAGATGACTGCCGAGGGCGTAGCCCATATTTGGGACGAATGCTGTGCTGACAGCCGTCCGTTCATCGTTGTTACGCCGGCTGAGGAAGACTTCCTAGATCGATCGAAGTGGCCGAAGCATTCCGGAAAAGTTTATGACAAGTTTGCTCAATATATAGCAGAGCAGCCAAGACCAAATCTGCCCGTAGTTGGCTTTGCCTTCGTCACAAATTCTCGGCTTAGCCTGGATGGTCGTCCTTGCCCCCTGGCGCGATACTCAGGGCGTCTGACTTTGATAGTACATCCAGCTCATCGAAACAAGTTGTACGGTTCGGCCCTCTTAGACCGCATTTTATTATCCATATCTTCATTCCACAAAAGCATCGTCGACCATGAATGGAAGCTCAACAAGAACAAACTTCAAGGCGTTTATGAATTTCCCGCCAGTCGCAATGTACGACAGTACACGCATCTTCATGTGGAAGTGATTGAATCACACGACAAGGAAAGAACTGATGAGCCGAAGACCCATTTTTTGAGAAAATTTGACTTTGAAGAAGTCAGTCGGTTCAGAGATGGCTTGGTCGCAGAGGATGACCAGCGACACATGCATTGGCAAGACCTGGTGACTTGGACGCGTGCTATCACACCAACTGAAAAGATTTTCGGCAGATATTAGTTCAATGCGAAAGATGAGCGGTTGAGTCAAGGTGTTGGTCGCAAGAAATCTTGAATTGCCCTATTGCGCAATTCTTGCCACAAAGAAAAACCCAAAATTTGATACCGGATGAGGCCATTCATTCCGTGGTATAGTGCGGCTATGGTTTGGAATGACGAAGATTGAAACAATGTTTGAGAAGGTTATTGGCTGAAGGGTCTCATGTTGTATAAGGATTATGAAATGGTTGTTGCTGATATGATCAAGGTTGCGAATGAAGGAAAAGCTGATGTGCAGTAGAGAACAGATCGGCTATGATGAGACGAGTGGACAAGACTGAACAATTGAGTTGACATGAATGACATCGAAGAAGTAGAAAAGGCCTTAGAAATACATAGCATGAGGATGAGGATAGGCTTACTAAATGAGTACTTATCTGAAGAAATATGTTATTGACGGGTGGGGGCAGGTGCGAGGCACCTGGCCCACCTAGCACAAAAACCCCACCAGTAGATTTTTTTTGACAGGGATTTTTTCTCCCTAATCATCATCTCGAGATTTTGATTTGATTTAATAAAATCATAAAAACCTCATTTCCGTTCTGTGTAGTTCTTAGCGACCACGCTAGGAGATTAGTAATTAAAGCTTCCTTAAGCTACCTGAAGTTAAGTTATTATTTCTGCATTATCCTTATTATTATTAGTTAGACTAGGGTGGTTTACCTACCTATATCTTCCTAATCCTTACTTAAAACTATTAAATCCTTACACTCTCTCTTATTATTATTATTAATCTAGAGTTATAGGAGTTAGAATCCCTATAGAATCTATAGATAGTAAAAGTATATAACTATAACTTAGAATTATCTAAATTATTATCTCTAGGAAGTGTCCTAGTAAAAGAAGAAAACTTCCCTCTTACTAAACTAGAAGACTAAGCTATAATCTAGCTAGCCTATTTTTTTTAGTAACTTACTACCTTACTAGTATTAAAGCTACCTATACTAGAATCTAGAAAACCTATATTAAAAACACTTACTTATTAGCCTATAATAAAGCTATATAAGTTACCCTTATCTTAAGATATTAGGATCTTTAATAGGTTTATATTAGTAAGATAATAGTTAAGTTATTTATAATAGACTTTTAAGATAGTTAATAAAGGAAGGGATATTAACCTAAATACCTTTATTTAAGCTATTAATATAGCCTTAGGTAGTAAAGTAATTACTTTTATTAATAGCTTAAAGTAATTAAGGCTTATAGTCTTAAGGGCTAAGAATAGTGTAATAATTACTGCTAATTTAGCTACTCTCTAATAGTTACTATAAGAGTAATACCCTCCTAATATTATTAATAAAGAAGTAAAAACTAGTACTAATATAAAACTTTAATAAGGTAAGGGTAAGGCCCTTATTACCTATTATTCTTATGTTTTAAATATACTTTATTATACTAAAGAAAGGGATAAACTAATTACTTCTAACTATTCCCTTACTCTAATTAAGAGTTATACTCTCTATAACTTTATCTAGTAGTTTATTTAAGAATTATATAATAAATTACTAATATAGGAAGCTATTAGCTAAAATATATTAGCTACTAATAGCCTTAGAGAAGCCTAAGAATATATTAAGTAAGTTACTACTATTTTAGAGGTAAAGGCTAACCTTATAAAGATAACTATATAAGATATAAAGATTACCCTAATAGAGAAATTTATTAAACTTTAGAGTAAGTACTTTACTAATAAAGTATTATCTTAGGTATATAAACTACCCCTAGGGTTTATAGAAGTATTAAAAGAATAAAGATAATAATTTACTTTAGTTAATGCTTTAATTACCTAGCTTTAGCCTATAATATTATACTTAGGTCTATTAGGAATATATAGTCTTACTAACCCTTAGTAATTTAGTAAGTATTATCCTATACCTTAAGTAGTTAATTAAACACTAACTCTAGCTACTTACCCTTAGAATTATCCTTAGATATAAAATAAAAGTAATATTAACTTAGGGAATAAAGCTCTAGTAAACCTATAAGGTAGTGCTAACTAGTCTATCCCTAGAACTTAATAAGTAAGCTTTCTCTCTTAATATTAGAATAATAGTACTAGTATATATTAACCTTTATAGAATATACCTATAATAACCTAAGGTACTAGTTAAAGAGAAAGAGCACTTAAACTAAGACTAGTAACTAAATTAAGGAATTAGTATATTAATAAAACCACACTATTACCCTATAGGGGTGCTTACTTTAAGTATAAAGTTACTAGATATTATACTATAAACTATACTATAACTAGAAATAATTTATTATAATAATAGGAATCCTTATAGTTAAAATTAATAACACTTCCCCCTTATAATAACTAGTTATAAGTACCTAGATAAATCTATACTTAGTTAGCTTAGGTATACTTAAATAGTAATAAACATAAGGATATAGTAGTATCTAGGATTATTAAAGAGGTTATAGGTAAATTATTAGTTAGAGTTTAATATACTCTAATTAAACTAGGTGCTATTAAAAACTTACCTAACCTTATAGAGAATCCTTAGCTTATTT